AGATGCTTTCCAGCTTGTCTTTTGTCATTACATATATAAGAACTGCTATTTTATACTCTTCTGTAACTCCAGTATCTGAAGAATATCACAATCTTGTCTGTTACTTCTGCATATTATCTTTCTTGATGTTTAAATTTCCTTTAAAAAGAGGGGAATACTTTGATGTGTCATTAAATAAACTTCCCTCAAAGACTGTTTTTTAAAAATATTTTATTATTTTTGTTTATGAGTGTATTGCCTGCATGTATGTGAGTGCACCCATGTTGTGCAATGCCTCGGTCAGAAGAGGGCTTCGGATTCCCCTGGAACTGGAGTTAAGGACGGTTTGTAGATGCCATGTGGGTTCTGGGAATCGAACCCGGGTCCTCTGCAAGAGCAGTCAGTGCTCTTAACTGCTGAGCCATCTCTCCAGCCCCCCTAAAGACTGTTTTAATTTGCTCCTGACCTGCATCTGGGAGCACCATTAGTCTGATCAGTGTTAAGAGTTCAAGGCTGAAGACTAATTTAGACAGGATAGTTACCATAATCTTTTTCTAAATTAAAAAAAAGGGGGGTCTGATTGAGGTGGCCAAGCTGGCCTCCAACTCCCTGTGATGGGATCCTCCTGCCTCAGCCTCCTGTGTGCTAGGATTATCGGCACTGTGCCAACCCAGGGAGCAGCAGTTGCATTTCAGCAGATAAACAGCAATCAACCAGCTTTGAAAAAGCCATTGCCACTGCAAAAAAGCTGAGCACCACTATCACAGCGCTCAGTAAGAGCAGAAACATTTATCTTTCATAGATGCTTTGGAGAACATTTGCCTTGGGCCCGTCCTCAAACACAAAACGCATGACTGTTTTTTTTCCTGGTTCTTTTGCTCTCCTGAAACTATTAACCCTGTCCTGGAAGCTGTCATCTCAGTTTATTCTTGGATGAGTCTCATACTAGTTGGCTGTACTACCCTCTGCATAATGACCCCATAGTTTCATTTGGGATGTTTTAACCTCATTCTGGATATTAAAAAAAAAAAAAAAATCACGGGGCTGGAGAGATGGCTCAGGGATTAAGAGCACTGGCTGTTCTTGAAGAAGACCCAGGTTTGAATCCTAGCACCTACATGGCAGTTAACAAATGTCCATAACTCCATTTCCAGGGGATCTGACACTCTCTTCTGACCTCCATGAGCACTGCATGACACGCACTGCATGACACGGGTGCACTTACACACATGTAAGCATAATATTCATACAGATAAAATTTTTAAAAATTATGTTACCCAGGCATGGTGGTGCACGCCTTTAATCCCAGCACTCAGGAGGCAGAGGCAGGTGGATCTCTGTGAGTTCAAGGCCAGCCTGGTCTACATAGTGAGTTCCAGGACAGCTGGGGCTACAGGGAGACCCTGCTTCAAAAAGACAAAAAAAAATTATGTTAATCAAAAAGAAAAAATAGGTAAGACACTTAAAAACACGAAAGTATTCAATGTATTATAAAAACCAATATTGAAACCTAGGCATGGTGGCAGACACCTTTAATCCCAGCACTCAGGAGACAGAGGCAGGCAGATCTCTATGAGCTTGTGGCTAGCCTGGTCTACATAGTGAGTTCCAGGCCAGCTGGGGCTATCTCAAAAAACAAACAAAAACAAAAAAAATAATTCCCAATACTAAAACCAATTTATATAAGAGACAGAGATTGGGAGATTATATAGCAATACAGAAGATATTTATAATAAAAAATTAAAACATACACTTTATGTATTATGCTTTATTTCTATACCACAGGGGAAATGTAAATAACAGATGTATTAAAGTATGAAGGTGTGGGTGATGTTAGTATATTTAATTTACTGAAGTAGGAAAAACATTCTAAGACCCTTTCCCACTTTGCTTCAACTCCAACCTGTCACTGTGTCCCTTCAATCTCCAGAGACAGAGTTATATGCAGCTCCTCAAATATAACATGGTTCTGGAGATGCTGATTAGATATTGAAAGCTATGCCTTTAGAGCTAGACAATCCTGAGTTTGAAGGTGTAACCTGCCAGACAGTACAACTGTAGTTAGTGTCCTCTCCAAAAAGGACATAATACATATACTAGGTTTATTTAATACAAGCAACAGAAATGTGTAAAAAATAAAACAAGCTTAAGCAAAAAGAAAGAAGTGTTTGACTGATTACAGGGAGCTCACTGAATCCCAAAGAAAAGTCAGGTCCAAGGACCTCAGGGAAGAGAAATAAGAACACTTCATGTCAGCTTCATCCTCTCCTACAACAGACCTTCCACCTCTGGTAAGATATCAGGCCTTTACCTTTTCAGCCTAGAAATAAAAAACACTTTTCTTCTCAGCAGTACTTTGAAAATATTCTAAGAACTCGGACTAGATGAAGTAGGTCACATGCCTGCCCCTAAAACTAACTCTGAACCCTTGGAATCCTGACTTGTGTTCCTATGGTCAGCACAGCAGGGACTGTTCTAAGAAGGGGAGAAGATGGACAGACAGAGAACTTCCACATCTCTGTCCAGTTGTGAGGATGTAATGATCAATGAAAGACATAGCAAAAGGTCTTTCACACAGGAAACACAAATAAATGGTGGTGATTAACAACTTACCTGACTGGAGAATCGGGCAGCTAATCCTCTTAATGTGCTAACCTTTAATTTTAGTAAGTTCTGAAAACTGAAAAAGGCAAACTGACTCACACTCAACTCCGGTGGCTATTTATTGAAAGAATACATGATTTTAACAAGCTTGTATTTCATGCACCCCTAAAAAAAACGGGTTGTTTTTTTGGTCTTTTTAAGGCAACTGTAGCCCCAACTGGACTGGAACTCACTATTTAGACCAGGCTGGCCTTGAACTCAGAGAGATCTGTCTGCCTCTGCCTCCCGAGTACTGGGATTAAAGGTGTGTGCCACTACACCCAGCTCAAGACCGGGTGTTCTTAAGTGAACAGAGCATGGCTGATGGTGCTAGAAGAGCCCTCTGCTCAGTCAGCCACAGATGTATCTTGGACTTCCTGTCAATGAAGAGGTATCAAGATTATAGAGTACTGGGTGGATCAAGGCCTGAAACCACAAACAAACCAGTGATGTCTTTTGGTCTCAAGAACTTTTTTTTGTAAACTTTACTAACAATGGGTAACATTCAATTGATTACAATTCATGTCATTTCCTCCAAATAGTCCCACAAAGGGATCCCCCAGTAAATAGCCACAAGTTCCTGAGAGGCATCACCAGGATGGTTCTGGCACTGTGTGCTAAGCATGGAGCCACATTCAAAGTTTCTTTGAATGGCTAACATCTTGGAGGTGGGTATCTGCATGCAATACCTCACCCATCTTGATTCAGAGGTAACAAACTCATTGAGAGATACTGATTTCAACTGTGACAAATATTCATGCCTACACAAATGAATTCTTTGGAGCTACCTCATATCATACAGGATAAGAAAGGTAATGGATCCTGTTATCCAGCATGCTAGAAAGTCAATAGGAAAGGTTTACCATTACCACCACCCATACCACCCCTCCTTGAAGCTCATCATTAGGCTAGAAAGACTTGGCTATCTTAGGGAGCAGCTCATTTGTGAAAGGGATCAATGGTCACAGTTGGTTCCAAATTTGTCCGTTGGTGTTAAATGAACCAAAAGAAGTTCTGGAAATCCCTCAGAATAGCTTACAGGAGGCACCAAGGGACCACAAGGAAAGCTTGTCTCATGGCTGATAGAAAAGCAACAGAGATAAAGTGATTTTTGAAATGGCAAATTTTTTTTGCACACAAAATGAGCCAAACTGTGCCTTCTGTAAATGGAGTCAAAGGCAGAACTTATGATAATTAGATTAATACTTCCCTGTAGTAAACTCAACTTGGCAAAAGGAAAAATGATGAAAGGAGGAAGGAAAGAAAGGAATGAAGGATGAAGAAGGGAAGGGGGGAAAAGGAAAAGGAAAGAAAGGCAGGAGGCCAGCTCCCTTCTTAGTTACACATTGTTTTCCAATTCATCTGTTGCTTGAGGCAACACTCTTGCCATGAAAGCACAATAAAATGACTTAATAGTTCTGCAGAACTGATGTGTGCTAGCTAAAGGGAAAGTTACAACTGAGAAGGCGGGGGGGGGGGTCACCAGTTCAACTGTTTTCAGTTAAGCTTTAGGTTTGAAAGTTACCTTAAGTTTGTGACAAATTTTCATACTTTTGTTGCCTTTTCTTATGCCTTTAGGCATTCCAAAGTGTTCAACCCGTGGGTTGTTCATCAAATGTTTGGATTTTTTAAAAATAATTTATTGAGAATTTCATACATGCACATAAGGTGTTTTTGGATTTCTAAGATTAATTTTAAATTCTTCTGGATTCCAAAATACCTTTCAGTAGCAATGGTATGGGGGCTAAATAACCAGGAAAGCAGCATTCTCCACCCAGCTCTGCTGTTAAAGGTTCTATCCTACTGCACAACTCACTTCAAATCTTCGACTTTCCCAGTTCTCTTAAACGGTACAATTAAGTGGTTGAACTAGTTATCTTATTCTTTGAGTGGTAAATTCTGGAAGGTGAGCTGCTTTCCATGGTTTTAAGTTTCAAGTAAGCATTTCAAACAAGTGCAACTGTCAAGCAATGATTAAAATCAGTTTTGTTCATTACTATTTTTATTTCATTACAAAATTTTTAAAATTATTTTTATTTTATGCATATGAGTGTTGTGCCTGCATAAGTGTATAAGTGCACCCATGTTGTGGAGTCCCCACAGACAACAGAAGAAGGCAACGGATTACAGATGGTTATTAGCCATCATGTGGGTGCTGGGATTCAAACCCAGGTCTTCTGCAAAAACAGCCAGTGCTCTTAAACACTGAGCCATCTCTCCAGCCCCAAGTTTTATTTCATTCTTATACTAGCAGGCGTGGTGGCACACGCCTTTAATCCCAGCACTCAGGAGGCAGAGGCAGGTGGATCTCTCTGAGTTCAAGGCCAGCCTGGTCTACATAGTGAGTTCCAGGACAGCTTCTATTTATGAGTCTACTGCCTGCATGTATGTAAGTGTGACTGTGTCATATAATGCCCACAGAGGTCAGAAGAGTGTGTCAGATGCCCCTGGCACTGGAGTTATGGGCAGATGTTAGTGGCCATATGGGCACTAGGAATTGAACTTGGGTCCTCTACAAGAACAGCCAGTGCTCTTAACCACTGACCCATCTCTCCAGCCCCATTATTTCATTTTTTAAAAGGCTGTAAACAGTAGGACATATATATCAAGCTGCTAAAACTTGGTGGTGTCCCACATTCATATTCAAAAGCTTTAATAAAATCCAATATATATGTCTATCATTCCCAAATGGCTACATATGTTGTTTGTGGTTTTATAAAAGCTTGTAATCAGATATGAACATGTGGCTTTTATTTTTTTTTAAATCTGTCTAGTAGCACAGTTTTCTCCATACATATACAACCACCACATAATTATATTCTCAAACTTTCTCTCCAGGAGAAAATTCTCTGATAATGAATTGGAATCATATTATAGCCAAAGCTTCCTACCCATTCTGTAATTTTAGGTTTCCTGCAGTTTATTTCGTGTATGAATTCTCTGGTGTTTAGTAAGAGCTGAGCTCCTACTGAAGTTTTTCCCACATTCCTTACAAGCATAAGGTTTTTCTCCAGTATGAATTCTCTGATGATCATGCAGGTTGGTTTTCTTTCTAAAAGCACGCCCACATTCATTACATTCATAGGGTTTTTCTCCAGTATGAGTTCTTTCATGTTGAATAAGAGATGAACTTTGACTAAAGGCTTTTCCACAGTCAATACACTCATATGGTTTCTCTCCAGTGTGGGTTCTCTCATGTTGGGTAAGTGATGAGCGTCGACTAAAGGCTTCTCCACATTCGTTACATTCATAGGGTTTCTCTCCAGTATGAATTCTATGATGTTCTATAAAACTTGTACTCCTTTTGAATGCTTTTCCACACACATTACATTGATAGGGTTTGTCTCCAGGATGAGACATAGATTGCTGACTAAAAGCCTGTTCACACTCATAGGCATTCTCTCCAGTATGGGTTCTCTGATGGTCAGTGAAGTCTGTGATGTGACTGAAATCTTCCCCACAGTCATTACAGTGGTATGACTTTACTGCAGTCAGTGTATTTTCACCATGAGTAAGAGAGGAGCTAGGCTCAAAGGCTACACTGAAGTTACAGCTTTGGTAAGGTTTACCTCTTTTATGAATCCTCATATGCTTATAAAGGGATGGACTCTGACCAAAGGCCCTCCCACATATGCTACATTCAAAAGGTTTCTCTCCAGTATGAGTCCTCTCATGTTGGACAAGGGAAGAACATCTACTAAAGGCTTTCCCGCATTCTTTACATTGGAAAGGTTTCTCTCCACTATGTGTGACCTCATGTTGAGTGAGGGATGTACCATGTCTGAAGGATCTCCCACAGAGATTACATCGATAGGGTTTTTCTCCAGTGTGAATTCTCTGGTGTTGAACCAGAGAGGAACTACGCTGGAAGGCTTTCCCACAGAGACTACACTGGTAAGGCTTCTCTCCTGTATGAGCATTCTCATGTTGACCTAAGGATGAGCTATGTCTGAAGGCCTTTCCACACACATTGCATTCAAAAGGTTTCTCCCCAGTGTGAATTCTCTGATGCTCAGTAAGTTGTGTTTTCCAGAGAAAGATTTTCCCACAGTCAGAACACTCATGATGTTTCTTTCCAGAATAAATTCCCTGATCTGTACCATTGGCATAAGCATCATCTTTATGAATTTTCTCATGCTTACTAAGTGATGATCTGTGAATAAATGATTTTCTACATTTGTTACATTTATAAGGCTTCTTTTTTACAAGGATATTACTTCGAGTAACTAACTCTGAATTATGTCCCAAATTGCTTCCAAGTGTTTCACATTCATTGGGCCTTATTCTTAAAGGAATGTCTAATGGTGGAACCAATTCTGTGCTCAATCTAGAGTTTCCACAAGATTTTTTTTGCTCAAAACTTTCCTCTAGTGTGAATATTTTCTTCTGGGCAGATACCTCTGACCAAAATTGTCTCCTCAAATTTTCCTGGTACTTCTCTAATGGGCTATTGACATCCCAAGTGTCTCTTAATGTGGCATGTGACACATCATCTCTACTGTGGGATACTTCAGATATACCCTGCTGAAGACTTGAAGATTTAGTTTCAGGCCTGATCTTCCAGTCTGAAAGAAATATAAAGTGCAAAAATTTCCATATTCTTTCAGTTGAAACAAAATGCTACAGTAGGAATGAGGAAATGAAAGAAATAAAATCATGCAATGACTGTATTTTGAAATTAATCCTGAAGTCTGTGCAGAAGCCTCAAACTGAAGGAAAGGAAGAGTGAGGTGACAGTGAAGATTGCAAATCCGGAGTGTCTGGTATCCAGAAAATGAGGAAAGCCATGCAAGTAGGGAGGGCTTGTTGGGAAATAAAGAAATAAGTAAAACTAAGAGTGTTACGTACAGATATAAACAGAGCAGGGCCATAGCCTATCTTGCAGGATTCCTCTGCTCTCCATAGTTTCGTCCATTTCATGGGGCATAACAAAATCTAACTTCCGCCCTAATATATCAATTTCATAATGCCTTTAAAGTAACCTATTGGGCTCCTAAATGCTTCAGAGAACATCTCTAATCAATGGTCTAACTGAAAAGATTCTTTGACATATATGGAAATCATGGACTACACTTTACAAACTGAGAAAAAGTAGTGTTTTAGGAAGCAAATTATCTTTGCCCTTATGACTAGAACAGTGGTTTTAGTCCATCTGAATTATGATTCTACACTAAATGTCCTTCTTTTGTGTATTTATGTGTGTGCTCATGTAGGTATGTGCACATTGGGTATATTCCTCATATTCTTTAATCACTTTCCCACCTTGTTTGTAATTTAAATTTTTAAAATTAAAATTTTACTTCATGTGTATGAGTGTTTTGGTTGCATGTATGTAAGCACACTATGTGTGTGCAGTGTCCATGGAAGTCAGAAGAGGGCACTGGATCCCCTGGAACTGGAATTAGGGATGGTTATTAGCAACCATGTGGGTTCTGGACCCAAACTTGTGCTCTTCACCACTGAGCCATCTCTCTAGGCCCCTCTTTGTAATTTTAAAATAACATTTATTTTGTTTTTGGAGGTAGTGGACAACTTGAGGAAGTCAACTCTCTCCTTCCATCATGTGGGTCCCAGGGATCAAACTCAGGCCATCAGGCTTGGCAGCAGTCACCTTTACCTGCTGAGCCATCTCACTAGCCCTACTTATTTTCTGAGACAGGGTCTCTCATGAACCCAGAGCTCATCAATTCAGCCAGGCCAATGAGCTCCAAGGATTCACCTATACCCCCTCTTCCCTCAGTGCTGGGGTTACAGACACCCAGTTTTTACATGGGTGCTGGCGAGCTGAACTCAGGTCCTCCTATTTGCACGGCAGGTACTTTACCAACTGAACCATCTTCTCAGTCCCCCAGTCACCTCTCTTGACCCAAGAACGTATCTCAATCTGTTTAATAAATGCATCCCTATGTCTGTTTTTACCTCAGAATATTAATACCAGATAATTCATGAACTCCTAGGTTCTAAGAATGGTAACATTTAAAAACTAAGGGATATGCCAGGCACAGTTGCTCACATCTATAACCCCAGCACTTGGGAAGCTGAGGCAGGAAAATAGATTATGAGTTTGAGGCCAGCTTGGATACATGTAGTGAGATCCTCTCTCAAAACCAAAAACAAAGGGCTAGAGAGATGGTTTAGCAGTTAAGAGCACACTGGCTGCTCATGTAGAGGACCCAAGTTTGGTTCCCAGCATCCACACAGTGGCTATCAACCATCTATAAGTCCAGTTTCAGAGGATCTGATGCTCTCTTCTGGCCTCTGTGGGCATTACATGACATGGGTGCACTTATAAGCAGGCAAAAACACTCATACACATAAACATACAAATAAACAAACAACTCCCAGAAAAAACTAGGGGAAGGAAATTGTCCTGAGCAATGAAAATGTTCCATGTTGATAGGAGTTTTGTGTTGCAAGAGTGAATGCACTTGTCAAAACCAATAGAATGGTCTATTTAAATGTATACATTTACTTAAAAAAAAGAACTATGGGGCTGGGGATAAAGTTCAGCTGGTAGAGTGCTTGCCTAGTATACACAAGGTCTTGGCTATGATCCCCACACCAAATAAACTGAGCATGGTGGTGCATGCCTGCATTCCTAGCACTCACGAGATGGAGGCAGGAGGATCATCCTCCACGTCTTAGTGAGTTTGAGGCCAGGCTGAGCTACATGAGACCCTGACTCAAAAACAAACAACAGGGGGCTCTAGAGAGATGGTTCAGGGGTTGCTACTCAATCAAGAGTACCTGGGTTTGGATCCCAACACTCACATAATAAGCGGTGGAAGTCCCACAAATGCCTCTAACTCCAGCTCTAAGATAGTTAGTGCCCTCCCTCTTCTGGCTGCCACATATGTATGCCTATATACATACACACACAAACACAAACACACACACATACACACACGCACACAAATAAACATCTTTTTAAAAATCTCAAACAATGTCAGGTGTAATGGCGCACGACCTTATCCCAGCACTTGGGAGGCAGAGGCAGGTGGATCTCTATGAGTTCAAGGCCAGCCTCATGTACATAGTGAGTTCCAGCCCAGCTAGAGCTACAGGAAGACTGTCTCAAAAAGACCAAAAAAAACAAAAACAAAAAAACACCCTGATAAAACCAAACAAACAAAAAATCTCAAACAACAAACAATTATAAACAAAAAATAAAAAAGCTATAAAAAATTATAATCAAGGGGCTAGAAAGAAGGCTCAGCAGTTAAGAGCACTAGCTGCTCTTGTAGAAGACCTGGGTTCAAATCCTAGTACCCAAATAGTGGCTAACAACAGTTCATAACTCCAGTTCTAGGGAATCCAACACCCTCCTCTGACCTCCATGGGCATTGTATGACATGGGTGTACTTATATACATGCAGGCAATATACTTATACACATAAAATTAAAAAAAAATTTTTTTTTGGTCTTTTTGAGACAAGATCTCCCTGTAACCCCGGCTTGCCTGGAGCAGGCTGGCCTTGAACTCACAGAGATAGCCTTCCTCTGCCTCCCAAGTGCTGGGATTAAAAGCATGTGCCATCACACCTGGCTTTCAACACTAAAAAAAAATTTATTATTTTTTTGTATATGAATTATTGTCTGCATGTATGTAAGCACATCCATGTTGTGCAATGCCTGCAGAGGTCGGAAGAGAGTGTTGAATTCCCCTGGATTTGGAGTTATAAATGATTGTTAGCTGCCATGTGGGTGGTGGGAATCAAACAGAGATCTGCTGCAAGAGCAGTCAGTGCTCTTAACCACTGAGCCATCTCTCCAGCCCTGGTTCAACACCTTTTAAAAAGCATTTGTGCTGGGCGTGGTGGTGCATGCCTTTAATCCCAGCACTTGGGAGGCAGAGGCAGGCAGATCTCTGTGAGTTCAAGGCCAGCCTGGTCTACATAGTGAGTTCCAGGACAGCTAGGGCTACAGGGAGACCCTGTTTCAAAAAAAAAAGCATTTATGTAAGGCCCTAGGTTCAATCCTCAACATTTCAAGTAAAAAACCAAAAATGAGCTCAAGTTAATAATGTGTAAGCTAAAGTGTGCAGAGGTGAAATGTACTTAACTTTCCAGGTTCCTTAAAAATGCATAAAAAGATAGATTGATAAATGAAGAGATATGTAATAACACAGGCATTAAATTATTAACAATAAATGTAATAATCTTGGAGGTAACTACATGATTTTTCTATATATTTGAACTTTTTTATGACAAAATCTTGAGAGTGGAAACAAAAAACAAGAGGTCCAAACCCCCAAATTCCTTACCTTGCAACAACAACAACAAAAAAAATCAATCCTAAACTTTTTTTTTATATTATTTATTCTTATTTTATGTGTACGAGTGTTATGCCTGCATGTGTGTAAGTGCACCTGTGCTGTGTAGTGCCCATGGAGGACAGAAAAGGGCATTGGATTCACTGGAACTGGAGTTACAGACTGTTAGCCACTATTTGAGTGCTGGGATTCGAACTCAGGTCTTCTCCAAGACCAGCCAGTGCTCTTAACCACTGAGCCATCTCTCCAGTCCCCACTCCTAAAATCTTAATGGCAGCCATATGTGGTGGTGCACACTTGTAAGCTCAGCACTCAGAAGCCTGGGGTAGTAGGATTACAAGTTTGAGGTTAACCTGAGCCACATAGCAAGACACTGTCTCAAAACAACAACAAAAAGGCAATACTCCCAAGGGTAGAGAATGCTTTGTACTGTATTTAGAACCCTTCTCAATGGGACATTTAAGAAAGGTTTGTTTTGTTTTTGTTAGTCAAAGTCTAAAATAGACTTCTTTTCAAACAGTATATACTGAGTAAAGAGTTACTAAAAACTCAGAGACTTGGGGCTGGAGAGATGGCTCAGCAGTTAAGAGCACTGACTGCTCTTGCAGAGGACCTGGGTTTGATTCCCAGCACCCACATGGTGGCTACAAACCGTCCTTAACCCTAGTTCCAGGGGAATCCAGAGCCCTCTTCTGACCTTCGAGACATTGCACAACATGGGTGCACTCACATACATGCAGGCAATACACTCTTACACATAAAATTAAAAAACAAAATAATAGGGACTGGAGAGAAGGATCAGCGGTTAAGAACACTGGTTGTTCTTGCAGGAGACCTGGGCTCGAATCCCAGCACCCATATGGCAGCTAACAACTGTCTGAACTCTAGCCCCAGGGGATCCAACAGCCTCTTCTGACCTCCGTGGGCACTGCACAACACACATGCACTTACTTAGATGCAGGCAATACATGCATACACATAAAATAGAATAAATAGAAATTTAAAAATAAATAAATAAAAGAACCAGTGACTTACAAAATGATGCACTGAGGCTAGAGACAAGTTTCATCACAGAGTTCTCTCAGTGATCTAATGATGAAAATATATCCTCTGGCTTCAGAACATCTTTCTTTTCAAAACTCTTGGATGCCCCTTTCCCATAGCGAATGCAGTGTTGATAAGCACTAGGGAATGTGTGCTTAGAACACAGAATGCTGTAATGCTGGGACCAAGGTTCACCTCACATAACCTTTCTGAAAGAATCAAAGCCGAGTGTGGTGGCACATGCCTGTAATCCCAGCATATGAGAGATGGGTCAGTTCAAGGCCGCCTTGGCTACATAGAGAGTTCGAGGCCATCCTGAGCTGCATGAGGCCCTGTCTCAAAAAAAAATAAACAGCAACAGCAGCAAAATAAGTTTGTGAAAATGAAAGGATGTGAAAATTCTTCCCCAGCCAGACTCCATAAAAATCAATCAAGTATTTTTCTGCCTGCTTCTAAGTGTTCTGTAACAAAAAAATAATTAAATCTGAATTTGTATAATGGAGATGATATGACTTGTATTTGTAATCATTGAAGAACTAAACATATTATTATATATTAGAGTTCATGGGTAGATTTTGGACTCAAAGAATAGACAACTATGGATAGGCAGGGTGTACTAGCTAATGCAGGAAATTATATGTAGCTAACAGTAAAAGTAAATAGCAAAAGAAGTTCAACCTAAGGAGAGTTCATTTTAGCAAGAAAAGAAAGGTAATTCTAGAAAACATGATAGGGGACCTTCATGTTTTTGAGAGATTTGCCAGGTATAGTGGTGTATGCCTTTAATCCCAGCACTCAGGAGGTAGAGGCAAGCAGAGCTCTGTGAGCTCAGTGTCAGCCTGGTCTACATAGCAAGTTCAGAGCCAGTCAGAGCTGTGCAGTAAGACCCTGTCTCAAAAAATAAATAAAATAAAATAAAATAAATAAAATAAAATAAACAAAATAAAATAAAATAAAAAATAAGATAAACAAATAAATATATAAATAAAAATCGGGAGTAGCTTGCTACGTAGACCAGGATAGCCTCCAACTTACAGAGATCTGCCTGCCTCTGTCTCCTGAGTGTTGGGATTCAAGGTATGCACTATGCAAGAGAGTTTCTTGTAATGATGCACAAGTAGTACCAGAAAGGGTTTTTTCAAAAGAGGGTAACTGATGAAGATAAAGTATTAATATCCAATATGATCCATCTGAGAAATGGTAACACAAAACTCGGCATAGCCATATGATGGAACACCAGCAGCAGCAGAAAGGAATGGAGTGCAGACAACGCTACAACATGACCAACCCTGAGAACACCATGTTAAGTGAGAGAAGCCAGGCATGCATGATCCAATTTATATAAACTGTCCAGAACAGAGTAAGTAGAGTAAGGGGCTGCCAGGGCCTGGGAGGAGCTGGGAAAGGGGATTGCTAATAAGTACATGGCTTCTTTTTTGGTATGGTGAAAATGTTCTGATGTTTTGCACAACAGAATCCACCACACAGTGATGCTGTCTGCACAAGTGAATGCATATTATGAACACACACGCACACCTGACTAATCAACGAATTGTATGTTGATAAAAACACACTTTTAGCAAACCAATATGGTGCTCAATTCCACCCAGAAGAATAGTAATCTAAGCCCAGGGCCTGGTTTAGGATGTCATCAGAAGTTAAAAGGCAGAGAAATAGAAGATACTTCTCAAAAGGGGTTGAAAGCTAAAAGACTAAATTGATTACGGAGTCTAGCCAAAAGGAACAGAAATCCTAATAGGCAAAGGCAGATATGAGTTAGGGGCAAAGGTGGGAAGGCTCAGGGTATTTTCTACAAGTTCTGGACACCTGACAGTGAAAGCAAGGCAACACAAGGCGATGTCGGAGCTGATGTCTGAATGAGTAAGAAAAGAGGTCAACAGGTAAAGGTGCCAACCTGGAGAGAGTGAGTCCAATCTCCAGAGTCCACATAAAAGTTGAAGGAGAGACTCAACTCCATAAAACTGTCCTCTGGCATTCACATGAGTGCTGTGACACGTGTTCCCCCCACATCATACACACATGCAGTTATACAAAATAAATTTTTAAAATTTTTGAAAGAGCTCTGTAAACAATGAAGTGAGCCCAGGGAACCAGAGGAGAAAAGAATGCAACAAGTAAGTGGGGATATGGGATGGTACAGGGCAAAAAAACTACATTAAAAAAAAATCTGTATGAGGGTTCTGCCTGCATGTATGTGAGTGCACTGGTGCATGCAATGCCCATGGAGGTGAGAAGAGGGCTTCAGATTCCAGATCCCATGGAACTGGAGTTACAGACGGTTGTTAGCCACCATGTGGGTGCAGGGAACTGAACCCTGGTCATCTGCAAAAGCAGCCACTGCTCTTAACTGCTGAGCCATCTCTCCAGCCCCCAAAAAGGCTACTTTTAAGAGAGGGAAAAGGGGTATCTTTTTCTCTAAGGTCAATTGCCAGCAGAACTTTTCTTACTACAGGAGAGACATTCAGAATGTCACTGAGAAATGACTTCAGCATTCTTGCTGGCCAAGGGGTTGTCATATGTGCCCTCCATAAGCTGTGTCACTGTCTGTACTGTCTTATTCATTTACCTGCACAGAAGGGTCTTTGGATTTCTCTCTCTGGTATCCATGGCTCTTCTCCTTGCTCCAATTTGAAGATGACCTCCGGCTTGGATGCTTGATATCCTGCTCGTGGGTAAATACACAAAATTTGGGTGTTTGAGCAAGTAGACAAAGAACTTTCCTATAAGTCAGTACTAGTCCTTGATCCTCAGGAATTCTAAAGGGAAAAAAATGCACAACTTAAGGGAGTTATTCAAGCAAAGTGCCTATTTCTAGTTCTGCAAAATAGATATTTCACTGGAAGAGCGGGCTCAAAATCCTGGAAAGCTGGGTCTTGAAGACATGAACATCCTTCTCATAGGTCCCTAGACTACGTGCACCACAACCTTAGCAACTAAGGAAGGAAAACTCACCAACATGTGAGACACTGAGGGACATGGTCCATCCTTACCAAGAGAAACCAGGTGGCTATAGTTCTCCAACATCACATCCCTGTATAAGCTCCTCTGAGCAGGGTCCACATGGTGCCATTCTTCCTGGGTGAAGTCCACAGCCACATCTTTGAATGTCACTGATTCCTGTGGGATCACAGTCCTATTCAGCTAGAGATCAACTCCACACATGTTCCTTTCACAGTACTGAGAACAAACTTTGGGACTGTGTGCTTGCTGTTCAAAGGATGCACTGGTAGGTTTTATATGTTGATTATTAAAGGATCTAGTATGTGTTTCAAGAAAGTCACAAGGGGGAATCAGACGTGGTAGCACATGCCTTTAGTCTCAGTGCTCAGGAGGTAGAGGCAGGCAAATCTCCATGTGTTCAAGTCAAGCCTGTTCTATATAGCCAGTTCCAGGCCAGCCCAACCAGATCTATATAGTAAGACACTGTCTCAAAAAAAAAAAAAAAAAAAAAAAAAAAAAGTCAAAAGGGAAAATTTATCCCACAACCATACATATTCATATTTTCCATCTCTCTTCCCTCCCAACCAAGGTCTCATGTAGCCTAAGAGGACCTCAAACTCAATAACTGAGGATAACCTTGAACTCCTGATCCTCCCAAGTCCAGGCATGCACCACAGTGCCTCCTTACAAGCTGCACTCTCACTTAGCTTTCTCGCCGTCTCCTTCCAAACCTAAGCCTTTTTATACAATTACTCATTCCTCACTGCGCCTTCTTTCTTTGCTATAAATTCAAATACAGGGAAACAGGGATGATGAGTGAAAAATGATATTGTGGGGCTGGGGAGATGGCTCAGCGTTTGAGAGCACTAACTGCTCTTGCAGAGGACCTGGATTCGATTCCCAGCACCCACATGGTGGCTACAAACTGACCGGTCCTTAACTCCAGTTCCCGGGGAATCCAAAGCCCTCTTCTGACCTCCAGGGCATTGCATGACACGGGTACACTCACATACATGCAGGCAATACACTCATACACGTAAGATAAAAATAATTTTTTAAAAAAGAAAAATGACATTGCTCCTTCACCCTCCTAACAAATCTATCCCACGTACAATCATTCTCAACAGTGTGAACGGACACCCCAGCCATGTTTCAAACATACCACAGCCATGCTTTACAAAATGCCACATGTATTGTTCTACACAGTACCTTTTTAATATACTTGGTCACTAATTTTTGAGACAAAGTTTCATGAATCCCAGTCTAATCTCAAACTCACTACGCAGCTGAGGATGACCTTGAATCTCTGATCCTCCAGCTCCCACCCCCTAGAGCACACAGGCCTGTAGCACCACACCCTGTTTGTGTGGGGCTAGAAATGAAAGCCAAGGCCTGGTGCATGCTAGGTAAGCACTCTATCAACTGAGAGCATCTCCAGGTCTACAGTTTTCCTTCACATTTGACTGTCTTGGAGCTCATCCCGAATACAATTTTGCCTTTATTCTTTTGAACTGTTTCAGTGCCCCCATAGCACAGCTGCTGCCTAAAACTAACAGCAGTCCACTGTACCATGAAAAATATTCAAGTTCCCCCATCACTCACTAGGCTGTAGCTATACTGATCTTGTGTTAAGCATAAAATATACACAAGGTTTCAAAATGAGGTTGAACGCCTCATCAGTAATTAAAAAAAACTGATTATATATAGAAATGATACTATTCTGGATTTACACATTACTAATTTCACTTGCTATTTTTTTTAATATTGTGGATGCTAAAAAATGATTTTTGTTTTGTTTCTTTTGAGACAGGGTCTTCCCTGTAGCCCCAGCTGGCCCAGAACTCACTATGTAGGCCAGGCTGGCCTTGAACTCACAGAGATCTGCCTGCCTCTGCCTCCCTAATGCGTGTGCCACTATAGTCAGCAGAAAATGTTAAAATGCATGTTGCTTACATTACTGTCAAGCTCCTTATATTTCTTTTGGATGGTGTTATTCTAGATTATTTTAGATCTCACACTATCTTCTCCAGGCTCCTGAATCATCTCTTAAACTCTGATGCCTGTCACACATCTATCCTTCTGTCACAAGGACTCTTTGCCTTATTAATTTGACTCTTTTGTCTCCTTGCTTTGTACATCCTGACCATAATGTCCTGCCTCTACAGGCACATGTGAGACTTTTCTGGACCTTCGCCCTCCTCCCTCTCTAGCATGTGACCCATATCTCCATTCACTGCTGAAGTCATCAATTCATACTTTTCTCCTTTAAGGATTCCCAGCTCCTGAGGCTGGAGAGTGGGCTCAGTGGTTAAGAGCACTGACTGCTCTTGCAGAAGACCTGGGTTCGATTCCTAGCACCCACATGGCAGCTAACAACCATCCTAACTCTAGTTCCAGGGGATCCAACGCCCTCTTCTGACCTCTGTGGGCATTGCATGACATGGGTGCACTTACACACATGCAGGTAAAATACTCATACATATAAAAATGTAATTAATAAGGGGCTGGAGAGATAGCTCAGTGATTAAGAACACTGGTTGTTCTTGCAGAAGACCCAGGTTCAAATCCCATACCCACATGGCAGCTAACAACTGTCTGTAACTCCAGTCCCAGGGGATCCAACAGCCTCTTCTGACCTCCATGGGCCCTGCATGACACGGGTGCACTTACCTACATGCAGGCCATACACTCATACACATAAAATAAAAATAATAAATAAAATTAAATATATATAATTAATAAACAAATAAAATAGAATTCCCAGTTCTTTTGCATTTTAATCATTAATACCAGGCATACTGAAGACTGTCCAGAATTACCTGGGTAACTTTTCTAAACTGTCCATGAGTCAAGGGGCCCTGACAAACATCTTTTTAAAAACTCTGGCAGCTTAAGATAAAACAACAACAGTGAAACCAACAGTTGGTACACACTATATCCTAGCACTTGGGAGGTGGCAGCAGGAGAAATGAGATGTTTTGAGGATAAAAAAATGATGGCTTGCCGGGCCTTTAACCCTGTACTCAGAAGGCAGAGGCAGGCAGATCTCTGTGAGTTCAAGGCCAGCCTGGTGTACATAGTGAGTACCAGGACAGCTGGGCTACAGAGAGACCCTGTCTCAAAAAGACCGAAAAAAAAAACCAAAAAAAAACACTGCACTCGAGCTGGGTGTGGTAGCACACGCTTTTAAACCTGCACACGCTTTTAAACCTAACACTTGTGAGGCAGAAGCAGGTGAATCTCTCTGAGCTTGAGCCCAGCTTATCTGAGTTCAAGGCTAGTCTGGTCTACATATTGAGTTCCAGGCCAGCCCAGTGCTACATGGTGAGACCCTGCCTTACCAAAACCAAAACCAAAGACAGGGCTGGAGAGATGGCTCAGCAGTTAAGAGCACTGGCTGCTCTTACAGAGGACTTGGGTTTGTTTTCCAGTACCCATATGGCAGCTAATAATGGTCCTTAACTCCAAATTAAGGGATCCAACGCCCTCTTCTGGCCTCCAAGGGCACTGTACACACATGGTGCAATCACATACATGCAAGCAAAACAATCATACACATAAAATACAAATAAACACTTTTAAAAACTACACTCTGGGGCTGGACAGATGGCTCTGTGGTTAGGAGAGCTTGCTGTACTTGCAGTACACTCAAGGTCATTTCCCAGCACCCACATCAGGTCCGCCTGTAACTCCAGTTCCAGGAGATCCAATGTCCTCTTTTTGCCTTATCATGTGACACACACACATACACACATGCACGCACGCACGCAATAAAAATAATTTTAAAAAAAGTTGAAAAACAAAGCCGGGCATGGTGGCGCATGCCTGTAGTCCCAGCACTTGGGAGGCAGAGGCAGGCGGATCTCTGTGAGTTCAAGGCCAGCCTGGTCAACATAGTGAGTTTCAGGACAGCCGGGGCTACAGGGAGACCCTGTCTCAAAAAGACCAAAAAAAAAAAAAAAAAAAAAAGTTGAAAAACAAAACCATAGCCCTTGCCAGGCATGGCAGCTCGTGTTCATAATCCTAGCATATGGGAGGCTGAGGCAAGAAGACTACAGCAAGTTCAAGGCCAGTTTGGGCTATAGAGGGGGACCCAGCCTCGAAAACCAAAATGAATAAATTAATTAATTAAAAAACTTTACCCCTAGCATAAGCCTCCCCCATCTTCCACTCTATTCACCTTATCTTTCTTTTTTTCTCTGAAACTATTGCTTTTAGGACACTGTATAATGTACTTACCTGGTTCTGCTTCCCTTAACTTCCTAGAACATAAGCTCCATGACAGCAGAACTCTTTATCAATTTTGTTCATGAATGTACCCAAACTGCCTTTACAAATACCTGACACATCACAGGGGTTTAATGACTGCCTGTTGAATGAATTCTGGAAGAGAGGGAGGGAAGGAGGGAAGGAGGGAAGGAGGGAGGAAAGAAGGAAAGGAAGGAAGGAGGGAGGGAGGGAGAGAGAGAAGGAAGGGAGGGGGAGGCAGGGGGGCACTCAAACAAAAAGACTGCTATCTGGTTTATCCATTGCCTGCAACCCATACCTGCCATCAAAGATGACAGTAGTTTTGTGCATGTGCCTCTCATATTCTTGTCTCCAACTTCCCTGATCCAAAAAAACGAGTCTAGGGGCTAGAGAGATGGCTCAGTGGTTAAGAGCACTAACTGCTCTCACAGGGGACCTGTGGTTCAGTTCCCAGCACCCACATGGCTGCTAACAACCATCCTTAACTCCAGTTCCAGAGGATCTGTTGCCCCTTTCTAGCTTCCATGGACACTGCATGACACAGGTGCACTTACATGCATGCAGGCAAAACACTCATACCCTTAAAAAAATTTTTTTTTTGAGACAGGGTCTCCCTGTAGCCCCAGCTGGCCTGGATTCACTATGGAGACCAGGCTGGCCTCAAACTCACAGAGATCCTCCTGCCTCTGCCTCCTAAGTGCTAGGATCAAAGGCATGTGCCACCCACCCAGCTATACTTAAAATTTTTAATAAATAAATGAGTCTTCTCTATCCCTTTCCCTTCTTTTCCACCTGCTTAGACTGTTTCTATCCAAAGGTGGCATCTTCACTGACTCCTTACCACAGACAGAATTTCCTGTTCCTTACTCTTTTGTGTGTATGTGTATGTATTCATGTAGGTGTTTGTATGTAGGTGTGCACAATGCGTGTGGAGGTCAGAGGACCACACTGGGTGTCATTCCTCAGAGCCTTCTACATTTCACTTCCTGTAGTACTTTTATTTTAATCTTTGGAGACAGAGTCTCATATAGCCAACGCTGGTCTCAAGCTTGCTATGTTGTCAAGGAGAACCTTTGACTTCTGATCCTCCTGCCCCACTCCTAGAGGTGGCTCAGATGGTACAATGCTTGCTGTGCAAGCTTGAGGATTCCCAGAACTCACATAAAAATCCAAGTACAGCTGCTTGTGCCTGGCAAAATGGAAGATGGGGATAGGTAGATCCCTAGAAGTTTGATGGTCAGATAGCCTAGCCAACTTGAAGTTTCAGGCTAGTGAGAGACTCAGTCTCAAACAAAAAGTAGGAAGAGGGCTAGGGATGTAGCTCAGTGGGAAGAGTGTTTGCCCAGCACGCATGAAGCCATGGGTTTAATTCTGTGGACCATATAAACCAGGATTATATGCCAGTGCTGTTGTCAGCATGCCTAGTTTATGTAGTGATGGTAACCCAGGAAGTCGTACATGGTAGGCAAGCACTACACCAACTGAGCTACATCTCCAGTCCCTGTAAACTGTTTTGACATTACTACTTAGCATTTTTATCTGGATTGAACTTGAGTATCTCATACAGGTAGCAACAATTTGTAATTTACACTTAATTTTTAATAAAAAATATTTTATTCTATTTTAAAATATTTACTTATTTTATGTGTGTATTATGCCATGTGGGTGCTGGGATTTGAACCTGGGTCTTCTGGAAGAACAGCCAGTGCTCTTAAGGGCTGAGCCATCTCTCCAGCCTCTTATTCTATTTTCAATTATGTGTGTGGATATGTGTGTGAGAATGCAGGTGACCATGGAAGCCAGAGATGTCAGATCCCCCTGAAGCTGGAGTTGCAGGTGGTTGTGAGTCTCTCAATGCAGGTGCTGGGAATTGAACTTGGGTCCTCTGAAACAGCAGTATGTATCTCTCCAGCCCATCCTTAATTTTATTTATTTATTTATTTTTAGGTGCTGGTAATTGAACCTAGGGTCTCACACAGGGCAGGCAAGTGATTTGTCAATAAGTTCTAGGCCTAGCTCTCATCCTTCATTCTAAAGACAGTGTGGATTAAAAGATCTTGATACCGGGGCTGAAGAGATGTCTTGCAGAAGACCTAGGTTCGAATCCCAGCATCCACATGGCAGCTAACAACTGTCTCTAACTCCAGTTCCAGGGGATCCCATGGCCTCTTCTGTCCTCCACAGGCATTGCACGACACGGGTGCACTTACCTACATGCAAGCAATACACTCATACACATAAAATAAAAATAATAAATATTTTTTTAAAAGATCTTGATACCACCTGGAGCTTATATTTTCATCAATGTAAATCAATGATAAATATCCGAGTTGGGATAGTTCTGGAAAATGCCCCTTTTGCTACAAGAATAAAATGGGTTAACAAATAAGTCTTTTACTAATTAAGGTGAAGTCTGGACTGTTGAGGGTGTACATTATTGCACACCTATTAACGCAAGGGGGTGGGGGCCGGAAAAGCCTGGAGGGCCTATCAGCAGCCTCTTCTTAGGGTATTCCACAAACCTCTTCTGCCCCCTACTGTCTCTCTATCGCCTCCGAATCAGAAGGGGTTTCTCACTTTTCCATCTTGTCATCCCACCCTCAAGAGTTCAAAGAATGCGCACTGCCAACAATCCCAATACATTTAACTCCTCTCTCGATCACACCTCCCTGGTTCCCTTTTGGGACCACACATCGCCGTCCTTTTAGGACTCGCTCTCCGCCTAGCTCTGGGCGTCTCAGAAGGCGGGTCTGGATCGCTAGGAAGCCCTGAGTCTCTAGAACAATGTCTGTCCCATACTCGCTCCAGAGGCCTCGCAGGACGAGATGCTCCCGGCGGTTCGGAAGGCGCAGCTCACCTGGGGCGCGGCCGTCGGAGGCCTCGGGGCCATTCCTGCCGCGGTGAGGTCGGCTACGGGTCCCAGGCTGCGCAGAGAGGAGAAGGTCCACTCACCGGGCTGCACCGCAGGCCCTGCCCCGGCCGCGCCGACACCACCCCGCCGCAGCCCCTGCCACAGAGACCGCAGGGAGGAGCCCGCCCCGGCCCGCCGCGCCCACAGCCTCCGGGACAGTCCCTCCGGCCACGCCCAGTCCTCCCGCGGGATGGTGGGCGAGGCCGGGCGGACAGCCTTCCACTCTGCACCCACGCACTCGCAATCACCGCCTCCTGGGGTTCAGGATCCGCCACCACAGCCCTACGCGGTGCCGCGGCTCCGCCCCTCCAGCGCACACTGCAGGCTCTGTGGTGCTTCTGCACAAGGACCAGCTTCGCAAACCGAGCAGCGCCGCAGCGGAGCTGGACAATGGCCGCAGTGGCTGGGCAAAGACACAAGTGCGCCTGCGCACGAATGCCGCGCTCCAGTTGGGGGGGGGGGCAACTCCCCAGGGAGCCGTGGCCTACACTTCCCAGAGGCCCTCGCGCGCGGGTCTTGCAGCGTCCTCTGCCGACCATTCTGCGCCCCCTAGTGGAGACAGAATGAGGCGGGCAGCGTAGGTGAATGTTTATTAGCGGTGGTGCCCAGGTTGCTGGTGGCTGTGGTTTGCGGTGGGCGCCCGTCGACAAGGCAGACAATAAGAACGTTAAAATAAGATAATTTGAGGCCTTGATTTTAACTGAAAGAAAGACTAGGAGCCGGACGTGGTGATGTGCACCTGTAATCCCAACACTGGGGAAGCAGGAGGATCACGAGTTCAAGAACCACCTAGGACTCCATATCGAGAACAGGAGGGAGATTAAAGAAATAAGTCCACATTAGGACATAAAGAATGTATCAGAGCATGGATAATGATGTCTCTAATGTGCCTTCTTCACCCATGGGTCACTATAAAAGATATGGGCTGTCATTCCCGTCTACACCTACTATTTAATTATATAAAAGGAGAGAAAAAAACAAATTCATGACCTAGCAGACTGTTAGGACCATATTCATTCATTATGTGCTATCCTATTGCTCAGAATTTTGTGCTTCATATAAGCCATATTAACCAGGTTCTCTAGAGGTACATAACTGATAGAATGAAAAAGTTATAATACATTTATATATGTGCAATATATTACACATATATCTATAATATGTATTACATAAATGATGTATTAGATTACTTTGATAGGGGTTGGGTAAGACCAGCAATGACTGGCTGCATGCTGCAGAGACAGAGAACTAGGTAGCTACTCAGTCTGTGGTGGCATTTGCAGGAAAAATTAACAGGGAAGAAGACCCTTCTCCAGAGTGGGCAGCACTTTCTGGGAATACAAACAAGTTCAAGGAAAAAGCGGTGTGCTTGCCTGCCTTCCCTTCTTGCTGTCGAGTTGCGTCTATTCCCTTCGTGTTGCGGTACCGCTGCTGCTGCTGCCTTTTGCTCAGATCAGCATCCAGCTTCTTCAGGTTCTAACATAAACTGAAGACTAGTGGCTCTCCAGGAATCCTCTGAGCCTTCAACACCAGATAGGGACTGCTGAGACATCCAGCCTTGTGCACTGAGCAGCCATTGTGTTCTCAGCCTCTCCAGCTTATGGACAGCCACTGTTGGACTACCCAGCCCCTATAGTGTAAGCCAAACTGATAAATGATCTTTTATAACATATATTCATTCTATCAGTTCTGTTCCTCTAGAGAATCCTGCTAGTACATCCATTCTTAGTAAAAATTGGGACTTTAGAACTCCCAACAGTGAGCCCTTCTCTGGGTGAAGACTCTAAAGCTGATTGGACAAAGAGAGAATATACCTTCCTTGAGAATGTGTAACCACAAGCTAGTCTCTGAATTTGAAGCCTGAATTCACAGTCCTTGATGGTCTAAAAACTCAAAGGCTGGATGTGGTGGCGAACGCCTTTAATTCCTGCACTCAGGAGGCAGAGGCAGACAAAACTGTGAGTTTGAGGCCGGCATGGTCTACATAATGAGTTCTAGCCCAGCTGCATAGTATAGTGAGACCCTGTCTCAAACAAACAAAAAAGAAAACCCAGAAAACAAACAAAAAGCCCTGAAAGTTCAAATCAGCTTCAGGCTAATTTCTTCTAGGCATCTAATCGAAACAAACAAAAATCGTGTTTGCAAGAACCTATTTTTACCCCAGGTTTCAAAGACTTCCTCAAACATGATCCCAAGAAATATGAGCAGATAGTTATGAATCTCTAAACACGTACAGGAAATGAAGCTGGAGGTGAAACCGAATCTTGCTATGTAGCCCAGACTGGCCTTAAATTCCTGATCTTCCTTCCTCAGCCTCTCCAGTGCCAAAATTACAGGTATGCACCACCACAAACCAGCTAAGTCTAAAACATTATCAAACAGAATTAATAAAAATAAATATTTTTTAAGATGGGGGCTGGAGAGATGGATCAGTGGTTAAGAGCACATGCTGCTCTTTCAGAGGACCAGAGGTTGAATCCCAGCACCCACATTGGGCAGCCCACCACCCCCTATGACTCCAGTTCCAAAAGGATCCAAGTACCCTTGCTTCTGAGGGTACATACAAATGCGTGGTTATACTTAGCTCACTATCTCCTCTTATATATACAATCTAGGACACAAACTCAGGGCGTAATGATATCCACTTTTAGACTGGGTCTTCTCACATTAATTAACACAAGACCACAGATTTGCCTACAGGCCATCCTAATGGAGGCAATCTCTCATTGAGACTCTTCCCAGGTTGCCTACAGGCTGACGTAACTGAGATAATCTCTCATTGAGACTCTTCCCAGGTTCCTAGGTGGTAGTGTTGACAAACATAATCATTACACTAACCTAATAGATAACAATAGATAATCCCTCAAGGACATTCCAAGAGGCTTGTCTCTTAAGTGATTCTAGATCCATCAAGTTGACAACATTAATCGTCATATAACAAAATATAGATTTACAGCCATGTGTGGTAATACCTTTAATCCCAGGACTCGAGAGGAAGAGGCAGGTAGATCTCTGGGAGTTCAAGGCCAGCCTGGTCTACATAGCAACAGGGCTGTTATACTGAGACCCTGTCTCAAAAACCAAAACAATAATAAATAAATAAATAAATAAATAACTTTACAGGACTGGAGAGATGCCTCCATGGTTAAGAGAGCTTGCTGCTCTTGAAGAGGATTGGAGCTGGGTTCCCGGCACTCACTTCAGGTGGCTCACAACTGCCTGTAACTCCAGCTCTAGGGGATCCAACTGTCATCCTCTTCTGGCCACAGAACACATATGCATACACATAAATAAAAAGTAATAAATAGAATTCAATGAGATCAATGAGACATATCAAATGAAAAGTCAGAACACTAAAGAAAATCTTAAAAGTAGCTACAGAGAACACATAGATTACCATTGAAGGAAAGGAAGTTAGAAAGCAGCAATAGTTGCTGGATATGGTGGGCATGTCCATAGTCATTGACCTTGAAAAGTGAAGTCAGGAGAATCAGAAGTTCAAGTTCAGCCTCAGCCACATAAGTCCCTATATCAAGAAAAAAAGGGAGAGAGGTAACAATAGTGGAAGTCATGTGACACTTATTTAATGAGGATTAAATAAAGGCTGTCTTTGAAAAACAAAGGCAGAATGTCATGAAGAGAGATTCATTAAAGTTGGATGCCCTTCAAATGGAAGGAAAATTATTCCATATTGAAGGTCACATATAGATTAAAATAAACAATGAAGAAAGTGATAAATATCTAAACATTCAAACTAAAACTTACTGTGTAAAACAATTCTGCTTATAGGTTTTTGAAAAAAAATAAAAGCAGTAAAATATTTACAGGTCAACAAATTAAACTAAAATACATGTCAGCAAAAAAAAAAAAAAATCTGGGGGAGCTGATAAGCCAATCAGTGTTCTAAGGTCCTTGTATTGTTCTGGAGGATTAGAGATGGGGACTTCAGTGGACTGACCATACGTTGTAAAGATCCCGGTGGCCATTGGGTTCATCATTTTCTCCGAGTCTGCCAGCTGTTCGTGGCTTCCTCCTTCATGGAAAACCACACAGTCAGCACTATAGGTTCTTTGGTTCCACCATTTACCTGCAAAATCGAACACCATGTCTGCTGACAATTGCAGGATACATCTTACATCTCCAATCTACTTCCTGTCTTTTTTTTTTAAATAACTTTTTTTTTTTGTCTTTATGAAGCAGGGTCTCCCTGTAGCCCCAGCTGTCCTGGAACTCACTATGTAAACCAGGCTGGCTTTGAACTCACAGAGATCCACCTGCCTCTGCCTCCCAAGTGCTGGGATTACAGACATGCGCCACCATGCCCGGCTTAAATAACTTTTTATTTTCAATTATGTGTACATGTGTGTCTATGAGTGCAGGTACCCCCAGAAGTATCAGATCCCCCAGGAGCTGGAGTTACAGCCACCTGATGTGGTTACTGGGAACTGAGCCCAGGTCCTTTGGAAGAGCAGTACATGCTCTTAACCACTGAACCATCATTTCTCCAGCCCTTCTACTTCCTGTCTTAGAGAAGGTGCTCTTTGACTGACTTGGAATAAAGTTCTCCCTCTGGGGATCCTTGTCCCCTCCCTCTTCTTATGCATCACCTTGTCTTCCTTCTGAATCTTCCAATTTATTCTCTTTTGCATTATCTGATTTGTTACTTTGGGGGGGTGTGAATGTGTGTTGTGTATGCATGTGTGTGCATGCCCACTCATAGATGTGGAGACCAAAGAAAGACGTCAGGTGTTCTGCTCTATTATCTTCCACCGCATTCCTCTAAGACAGGGTCTCTCACTGAACCTGGAGCTAAGCTGATAGCCAGCAAGCCCATCAAACCTCCCATCTCTGTGCTGGTTATAGATATGTATGTGGTCTTACCTAGATTTATATGTGGGTGCTGGGAATTCAAACTCAGGTCTTCATGCTTACAAAGCAAATGCTTCTACCCACTGAGCCATCACCTCAGCCCTCATTTTTTAGTGGGGAGGGGCATTTTCTTGCTATGCAGCCTAGGCTTGGGTCAAACTCATTATCCCTCTGCCTCAACCTCTCAAATGTTGGCATTATTAGCCTGGGCCACAATATCTATCTTCTCATCTGATTTTTTTTATCTTTTTGAGACAGGGTCTCCTTGTAGTCCCAGCTAGTCTGGAACTCACTATGTAGACCAGGCTGGCTTTGAACTCACAGAGATCTGCCTGCCTCCACTTCCTGAGTGGTAGAACTAAT